TCTTCACAGTCGCCGCCATGAGAACCTGAAACCGCAACGAAATATTAATGTTCTCCACGAGTGAAGCAAGACGACGTTTCGGCAAGTAGCAGGAACATCCAGGATTACTGAGCAGTATCACACAAGACGAGATGTTCAGAACATGAAACGCCACGGAACATGCAGCATGCACCCTGGTCATTCCTGGAGCTCAGGGGCACGTTCACTTCACAAAGTCAACAGAATCATTAACTAGTCCTGATCTTAATTTTACTTACGTTTTGCAGACGAGAGATGAATTTCGCTCGCCAGTATTACAATCGCCATTAAGACAATCAGAATGCTTGTGTGTCTGTGGAAAACCATGACTGCTCAATGACTGATTGGCTGGCTTCTTACAGAACCAAAGTTCCTTTTCGAAATTCCGACGTTTCAGACTCTTCCTCCTATCCTGTTGAGGCGAAGAGACGAAATGACCCTCCACTTGGTACAGGAAATTCTCGTAGGAGGCAAATCGTTCGTGCGGGTTTTAGGGGGGAGGGGGCCAGTTGAACCTCTCGGTTGTCTCGTGACGTAGCCCTAGTTCCGGCGAGGAACGGGCTGGTAGTAGCCGTCACGGGAGGGGTAAGTCGGGGGGGAGCACAAGAAATTGTGAATGAATATGAGGGGCAGTGTCTCTGAAGGGGTCAATTAAGTTGGCCCAAAGGGGAAATATTTGCGTCATTTGTTACAATCATACCAACGCACATTTGAGACGTGTTCGCAGCGAAGAGTTAAGGAAAATGCCCGAATTAGCTGGGCCAGTCGTCGGGTAACAACCGAATGAAAAGAAGGGAGCCCGAGAAATAGACCTCTTGGAGAGATTACAGGGACATTCAAGGAACTTGCACAGGAATGAGTCGTGATAAGAAACAAACGTAAAATATTCCTCTCAAACCCGGAGAGATATCGATTTTTTCTGTTTCGAGAATTGGGCTCAGTTGTGGAAAAAATATTACCGTCTCGTTTCACACTAATTTCCATTTTAATCTACTGACAATTTGTTAACTGTGCATCGTGGGGACGAAAAAATGCATTTTCTGGTACATTTCGCGTTCCAGATTAATTTGTGGCGGAATTGCTAGTTCCGTTTCATTCACGCGGGTTTCGACACGAGCAGAACGGAATTCTGCGCTGTTCTGTCATCGCATTTAACATCAGCCGCTGCATCGCGTCTCTCGTCCCAAGCAAAGGTCGCATTCGAGGGCTGAAGTCAGGACAATGGCGTGTGGGGAGGCTCACGGGTCACGTGGTGCGCCCTTATCAGCAGCGTAGGGCTCCGAAAGGCGAGCAATTTCTTCACGGTCCGAGCTACTTTCGTCTCATTGTTAGTTATGCCCATCCCGCATTATCTGTGAGCAGCCCGCTGCTCGTTGCATTCCCGTTCCCGGTGCGCCGTCTGCCTGCCTTACCTCCGAGCCGACAGATTACCCTGGGATCTGGTACGCCGTGCGAGAGCACCGACGTTATATCCGCGGGTGAGCGGTTTCAATCGAGACACGTTCTGTCTGCGTCAGTTTGTCCTCAGTTGCTCCTGTATTACGCTTACTATCACCACAAACCTTCGCGTGAGATGCGAGGTTCTCACGGAGGTGAGGATGACGGAACTGTCCTTCCGGGCTATGACGTCGAACAAACTCTCGTAGGTGGACGTCGGCGTCTTCAAAAGCGCATTCGTCCCACCGCCGTGCCAAGACACGCGAAGGCGGAAAGAGGCAAGACACCGACGTCGCCGACACCCTTCGCGCAACCCCGCTTACCGGGAGCGATGGAAACACGTCACCGGTCGTCGCCCGAGAGGCGAGGATCGAAAACAGTTGCTGTCGACAATTCTCAGAAAAGTCCTTTGCCCGCAAGCCGGTACGTCACAAAACATAGACTGCCCTACATAAAAACTTAGTCGTTCCAAGGAAGTGGTACGGCTCCTTGTCCTGAGCCAGTATAATCCAATCCCAAACGCTTTCCTGATAACCATTTTAATATTATCTTCCCATCAACGCCGAGGTCTTCCAAGTGGATTCTTCCCTTCAGGCTTTCCAACCATATTTTTCGCATTTCTCCACTCCCCCACGCCAAACCACAGGCCCCGACCATCCCGGTCGCTTGGATCTCCTGACGGTGGGTGGAAAAGTGAGCAAACCGGAGTCCACCAGTCTCGAGTCACACCCGCAAACATTCTTCGCTGCACCTCAACCCACGTTCTTCCTCAGGGTCCCTGCTAATCGCACTCTGGCCTCTCTTATACTTTGCACTCATCCATTCTTTAAGCTTTACGCAGTTCCGTCTTTCTTCGAATGGATAAATAATTCGTAAGAGAGGTCAGCTGTTTGTATGAAGTACCTTGGAGTACCGGAAGTAAAGAAATTTAATTGCAAAAGCGTGAGATCAAAGGCAGTCCCTGCTCTACGACCCAAGCATGGACGGAATGTCAGACTTCCCCCGGGTGTGACACGAATTAACCTCGGCAACCGTACGACGCACAGTTATACCCAAACGGCGTATATGGTCGTAGGATGAACTCGGCAACTCCATTCTTTGCTACAAATCGTCCACAAATGTCCGTTCCTTCAAACGGATTCAGCTATGCTGAAGGCTGTACAACGGCCCGTGAAATTTTAGCGGGAACATCTAAAGAATACGGCTACTTGGAGCCGTGGACTGGATTAATCTGGCTCTCAAGATGGCACCGGTGTCAACAGCATGACGGGTCCTATTAAAGGCCGGGAATGTCCACACAAACTGGGCGACGAGTAGCTTCTGGTCTTCGTCTGGCTGCTACCCACCGCGGCTCAGTCACGGGACGGCGATTATGAACGCGCACTTCCGAAGATACCGTCATGGCGGAGGTACTTACACGCAAATATCAGTAAGAATTACTTACATCTCATTCGATAGAAAGTAGACGATTGAAACCGGGCGTGAACTCGTACAGCCAGGGGCCGCAGTGCGTGTTATGTGCGGCACGCGGGTCTCGAAATGCTGGCGGCGCGGGTTACAATCGAAGGAGGAAAGTTCTCATGTTCGTTGGTGGACGGCGATCGACGCCAGGCAGTAAAGTCGCCTCGCTAACTAAAGGACGGATCCTGTTTGTAAGTTAGTCTACTTATGACGACGATAAATACATTTATGTTGGCCCAAAGCGGTGCTGACCACATCAGCGAGTAGGTTCCTAAGTGGACAACTTAAAGACTAGGTGACAAAGGTTAGGTTGCGAGAAGACAAGTGCACAATTTCACGGTGGAATTTTAAGTGACTTTATAATGTGTTAAGAGAAAATACTGTGAACCGAAGGAGCCTTAAATGTCAATGGCTCTGCCTCTGTAATTTCGTGGCCAATTGGTTACCTGAATTGTACAGAATCTACAGAAGTACTGACGAGGCGCGTATTGATTCAATAACAGAAAGAACAGCGCTTGCCGATTACGGATGAACAGACATCGAGTGTTGGTCATGCGTACCGACGCACCTGAATGCAAGGCGTCGCGTCGCGACACGACACGGGTGTAGAGCCACGTCGTCCTGCTCCTCTAAGACGATATTTCGGGGCGCAGTACCCATCAAATTTGTCATCCCGCCGAATTAACTGTGTCGCCATGGACACGAACAGTTGCCTCTTCTGGAATGTCGCGTCGTATAGTCTGCCAGGTACTGACCGGCGTTTCGGACGTGCTTACTGCCCCCGTCATCAGGGTGAACAACGGTCTTCATACTCATCGCACTGCCGATTGACGCAGCAGGCACCTCCGAAACGTCGGTCAGTATGTACTAGAGTACATATGGCAACACGCGTTATCTGATGCCAAGTGAGGAAGAAAACATTGTTTATGTTACACTACGTTCACTGGAACTTTAACGATACATTAATTGCAAAATTATGTTACAGCGTCAGTGACTACCACGTGGTCGATAGCAGACACGTGAAGTGGCCAAGTGGCATTACCGCATTAGCACTTCGAGTGACCCCCCCCCTCCCCCACATGCTCTTCGCTGCTGGAAGAGAGCGTCGCCTCCACACCCAATCGCTGGCCACGGACGCACATTCTTCGACCTGAAATCCTTTTAGGCATTTGGAGCGACTCCTTCGACTGAAATTAAGGATCTGCTCTACTCTGGGGAAGGAGCAGGAAAATCCTGAGTGGCCAGGACCCGAGAAACGGCCAAAAGTCTGCACGGCAGTCACCATAATAAAAAAATTAAGAAACGTCTCTTTGTTCGAGTACTTTCTTGGCGGGAATCGAAAAAGACTTAGCGTCGTTACTCTCTCGCACAAATCAGTGGAGCCTTCGAATGATCACGTTAATAGGACACCACTGTTGATTAATCGATCTTCAGATCGATTCGTGTTTGGTGTAGCTCCACATTTTGCGACTTGGAACAGAGTCGATGGACGTTGAGGGGATTTCCCATTGCATTTGGTACATGAGGCGTCTTCTAAGATGTTTCCTCCGGGCGTCGTCTGTGAAATTTTAGTAGCTGGGAAGACAGAGACATGTGAAGTGCATTTTTATTGCAAGCCTCCCCCCCCCCCATCCCGATGACAAATTTGAAATTACGTAATTCCAAGAAGTGAGGCAATTAGCCGTGCAAACAGAAAGTGTGGTGAGGAGCGGCCCTCGGGACTTGTACCTGGCTAATCTGACCCCCCCCCCTCTCACTTTAAGCCACGTGTTGGACGAAATATCTGCCCGTCCCGAGAACCTCGCCTTGTTCTCCTCCCATGGGAACGGTTGCAACTTTCTGACGGAATGAGTGGGATTTGCGGGCGTCGGAATTCGGAATTAGTGTCTCTTCCATTCATAACACTGACGGACCGTTGAAATAGAACAAAACGACGTTTATCAGCTGCAAAGGTTATTCAGCATGAGTGTAAGGCAAAGCTGGTCCTGTTCTACAGACTCCTAAACCAGGTAATTAGCTGAAGACGTGTGCTTAGCTGGAACCCACGGGATAGGACAGCAGTTGGGACGCAGAGCCGGTCTGGATACAGCAGCGGGAATCGAACCCAACCGCCCAGACCGTGGCGTGAATATTGAAGCTTTTGTTTGAACTTTCATTCTGGAGTAGTTTCGAGCGCGACGATGCGAGTCAGTGGGCAACAGTCAGCTGACAGAGAACAGACCTCAAGGACATCGATTCTACTTCTTCGGAAGTTTCGCAAAGCCCTCTCACTTAATATTCGTCTCGCACGGTTTACAGCTGTTTATCAGCGATCGATTATTTAACTGGTTGATTAAATTAACCAGTTTGTGCAAGAATGGCTTAGGGCCTACCACGATTATTTAACTGGTTGATTAAATTAAATAGTTAGTGCAAGAATGGCTTAGGGCCTACCGTACCTGAAGACCAAACCTTAAATTTTAAATTTTAGTCGAATGAGAGATTCCTCTGTGCGTGTTACCGCTCTCATGTGCATTGAGATAACTGAACGGGCGGTAATTGACGG